CCACACACACACACGCATAGACACACACAGACACTCGGTGGAAAAGGCGAGCAAAAAAAAAACAGGGACAACAGTTTTATATCAAAATCCAAGCATAAGCGAGGCTGGGGGTAATGTTATTCAGTGCTTCACACATTTTTTTTTATTGCTGTGTGAGTGTGTAGGCGCGTTTTCCTGGCTCCTGGTTATTTCTCGGGGAGGCCCGATTTTTTTTTCTTTATTGCTTGGCCACGACCTCGTGTGGCCTTCGTACTTTGGTTGAAGAAGGCAAGGTGTGTGGAATAGTTGCTTTTCTTGTGGTCCTTGCGCGGTGCGTTGCCGCCTCTGCTGGGCGTGTGGGGTGGGGGCCGACAAAGCGAGGCGGGGGGTGCATTTTATTACAAAACATAGGGAGTTGCATTAGGGGCGCCGACTTGGCATATATACATATATATGGTGGATGAGGCTTTGGTGGGGGAGCCGCAGCGGCTGGTGCAAAGGCTTCGTTCCTTCGTCCTGGAGTGCTGCGCGCCCCCGCAGTGTCTGACCTCGGCATCTTCGGCGGAGTGTTTCACGACGCGGTCTCTCTGGACGCAAGAAATCGACTGCATGCGACTCCTTGCGGCGTGCCCAAATCTGGCGGAACTCCTCTTCTTCCAGACAATGGCTCTCATAGACACCCTGCGGCAGGTGTGTGCGGAGATTTGCAAAAGTGCCGGGCAGTCGCTTAACCCGGCCGAGCTCTCGCCACGACTAACGCACCTACCCACAGTGGGCGCGCCACCACCGTCCATGCCACCTCCCCATGGGGTGCTTGTCAGTCTCTGTGGAACCATAGTAAGGATGAATGCCAAACGCGTGGTGCCGTTTGTTCATAAACTGAGATGCACCAAGTGTGGGGATACGGTTGAGGTGGCGTCCAGCCCTTTTGATCGTGGCTCCAAGCCAAAAGGGCGTTGCGAACGCAAGGAGTGTGGGGGTGGGGAACTGCAACCTGTTGGTCAGGTTTGGATGGACTACGCGGAGTGTCGCCTGCAGCAGCGTTCCAGTCTCTCGGGTCGCCTCCCTCGCACACTTCTCGTGACCCTTGAGGATGAACTGACGATGAAGTGCACGGTGGGCCAGTTGGTCGAGGTCATTGGTGTCTTGTTTCCGAAGTGGCGGGCCACGTATCCCAACAGTCGACCGATTATTGAGCCCACGATGTGGGCTCTTAACATCACCTCAGTGGAATCTTATCGGGAAGGGGGCCCTGGTGGCATGGCCGCCGCACCACGACGTAAGCCATCTGCTTCAATGGAAGGATCAGCTTTTAGCCCTGAATCATTTTTTTCGTCCTTCTGCAAGGATAAACTACGTCGGAGCACCGCATTGGTCACCTCTGTGTGTCCGCATCTTGCTGGATTGTTTGCCCCCCGTATGGCTTTAATTCTTGCGGTGCTGGGAGGGACTTCCACCACAGGCAAGTTACGCATGCACATACGATCCACAATTCATTGTCTCTTCGTGGGCGATCCGTCGACGGGGAAGTCGCAATTGCTGCGGTTTGCCGCCATGATTGCGCCGCGGAGTACCTCCACCACTGGGATTGGAAGCACCTCCGCTGGGCTAACCGTGGCCGCCGCGAAGGAAAATGGGGAATGGGTTCTGGAACCGGGTGCCCTCGTACTCAGCGACGGTGGTGTGTGCGTGATTGACGAGCTCCGAACCGTGTCTTCGGCGGACCGAGCCTCTCTTCATGAGGCCATGGAGCAGCAAACCATTTCCGTCGCCAAGGCGGGGATGGTAACCAAACTTCGGACCTCTTGCTCCGTGATTTCGGCGTGTAATCCTCCTCCCACACGGCATGGGGGAACCGAAATTGGCGTGGGTGGACCCTTGCTTAGTCGTTTCGATTTTATTTTCTTGCTGTGGGACAAACCCTCGTTGGAAGTCGACAGTTGCGTTGCCACTCACATTCTCACCTGTTCACAGGCTGGACGACAACCACCGTCTGTGCTTTCGCAGGAGGATATCAGCCGCTACTTGCGGTGGGTACATTCTCACTACGCGCAGCATGAGGGCCCTCTGCTTTCGGATCAGGCAGCGGAGCTTATCAAGACGTACTACGATCTGCAACATCGACGCGGGACGTCGCCTCTTCTTGCTGATTGTGTGCCAGTCACCATACGTCTGCTGGAGTCGCTTGTGAGAATAACGCAAGCACATGCAAAACTGCACCTCGAACATGTGTGTACAGAGGAGGATGCGGCGTTGGCTATTTTGCTGATGGAGCAAAGCGCCCATAGTCTGAAGTGCCCTTTGGAGTCCCTTGGTCCGGAGGTATACACAAGCTCCAAGTCTTTGGAAGAGTGTTTTCTCGATCTAAGTCCAGAGGGGGTGCAAAGACAACGCTGCGTGCTTCGGGCAATTGTGGATGTCTTTTCAAACTGCAGCAGTGCTCATACCTCCTCTGACGACGCGGTTGCTGCAACGTGGCTGGAGAAACTGAAGGCCCCCTCGGAGGGGGCGACGCTGCCTTCGCAGCAAAGCAGCAAGCGTGGAAGGGAAGAATCCACAGCGAGTGCTGCGGTCTTGCGTAGTGCACGGCGGTTAGAGGCGGAGGTGTCCTCCCCGTTTTCGAGTGTGCAGACTGTGATTCAGTACACGCCCAGTTCAATGGCGCAATCTCCCGCGAAGAGGAGCTGTAGGCGTCGCGATGCGGATGAAATCATGAAGAGTCTGACTTTTCGTTTTTGACGCATTCCGGGCACATTTGCTCCAGCATCCCGTTTTGACATGAACCGCAATGCCGGAAGGAGTATCTTAATTTCGTTCCTCTCTCTCTCTCTCTCCGTGTGTGTGTGTAGTTGGGTTTTGGCTCTTTCTTTGTGTTCTTGGTCCTCCTTGTTATCGGTTTCCGCCGTCGTCTTCTTTCCCTGTTTCTCTCTGCCGCCTTCTCATTAAGCAGCCCTCTACCATCTGAAATGCCGAGCAACGACAGTCACGACGCCCAGTTGCTGCGGCACTACGCCCAGTTTTTTCCAAACGTGCTCTTCACGTCGGAGGAGGAGATGGAGAAGTACTGCCAGGAGGCCAGGCCCGATGCGGTGAAGAAGGCGCTTGACCTTCCGGAGGGGGAGGAGGTCCCGGAGGATGTCATGAAGGACCCCCGCGCGCACTTGTACATACTAAAACACATTGTGGGACGCAATGCAACCACGGCGGCGTTTGTTGCCCTCCGAGGTTCTGATAAGCAAAAGGTAGTGGCGAAGTTTATTATGTTGAATGACGAGAAGCAGACGGCGTATGCGCGGAGCGAGGTTCACTGCCTGGCCGCCTGTGACCACTTTGGCATCGTCAAGCACTACGATGACCTGAAGTCGGAGGATAAACTGCTATTAATCATGGAGTACGGCAGTGGCGGTGACCTTAACAAGCAAATCAAACAGCGTCTCAAGGAGCGGCTGCCGTTCAAGGAACATGAAGCGGGTCTCTTATTCTATCAAATTGTTCTGGCATTGGACGAGGTGCACAGCAGGAAAATGATGCATCGGGATTTGAAAAGCGCCAATATCTTTTTGATGCCCACCGGCATTATCAAACTGGGTGACTTTGGTTTCTCCAAGCAGTATACAGATTCTGTCTCGCTAGACGTTGGCTCATCGTTTTGCGGGACACCTTACTACCTCGCACCAGAACTTTGGGAGCGAAAGCGATACAGCAAAAAGGCTGATATGTGGTCACTTGGGGTTATCCTGTATGAGCTTTTGACGCTACACCGCCCCTTCAAAGGTCCGTCCCAGCGTGAAATCATGCAACAGGTGTTGTATGGCAAGTATGACCCGTTTCCGTGTGCCGTGTCTGATGGAATGAAGGCACTTATGGAGCCTTTGCTCTCGAAGGATCCCGCGGTGCGCCCCACCACTACACAGCTCTTACAAACCGAACTCTTGAAGTATGTGGCAAATATATTTGAAGAAATTGTAAGAAACTCCGAGGTCATCGAGAAGCACGACAAGGAGCGCATCCTCAAGCAACTTGCCGAGGCACGGGCGAAGGCGCCGCCCCCGAGTGCCGTTCAACCAGGTGCCGTAAGCACCGACGTGGTGCGTGAAGGCTACCTTCTAAAGTACAGTTCAGATATGAAGTGGAAAAAGCGATACTTTTCCATCAAAAATGGGCAACTGCGCATTTCCCTCACTGATAACCCCGAGAAGGATGGTGTCTCTCCAAAGTCTGCCAGTCTGGAAACGGTCAATGATGTATTTCCGGTGCCGGAGGCCTACTGTCGCTCTAACCCGCATCAGCTTGTGATTTGGTTCACAAATGGTCAAAAAATCATTGCCATGGCAAAGTCCGCGGAGGAGCGCGATCTGTGGATCTCCGACTTTCAACGAGCGTGTGGTATGTAAAATAACAAACGCAAGGTTCTTTTCTATCTTTTTTTTTGTTGACTTCTTCTTGGGTCATTATGAAGCTTTCTTTTTGTTTTGTTTTTCACCCTTTATTCGCCCCTTGTTCTGCAGTTCTGACGAAGTTGTGGCGAGGGGAGGTGAACGCAGTGGGACGGAGTCCCCTTGTCTCTCCTGCTGCTGCTGCTGCTGCTCTTCGGCACGATGTTTATTAATGAAGGCGGTGTTATGGTCCCCAGCTCTGCCGCCCACCCTCCATTTCAACGGCGCCTCCCTGTACGGCGGGCTGCGGTCGCGCTGCCGCATACGTCGTGGGATGTATTGCTCCTCTGGGATCGCAAGGCGCTTTTGTGGGGAAAGAAGAACGTGTGTTGTGTGGGGAAGCAAGGAGAAAAAAGGGAGGGAGGTAACCTGGCGAAACTGGTGGGGACGCCGTCCATCTTTTATATTCCTATTTATATACACTTATATACCTTCGTGGTTTTTTATCCCTCCGCTTATGCAGAGGCTCGCACGATGTTCAATGCTTCTTCTTCTTTACGGACGAGGCCCCACCTGTGTTGCTCCTTTGCGCCCGCGAGTATCATCTCCTCTCGTTTTTGCCTCTTTTTTTTTTGCTCGTGATGTGGTGGAAGCATCAAAAGAAAGAACGAAACAAAAAAAAAACCGTTCTTATTAATGCCTCCTTGTGATCGTGTCCGTGTGTCTCTTCCGGTTGTTGTTCGTTTTCGTCAGGGAGATGAGAGTTTTTGTTTCTGTTTTTTTCCGACCATGCGTCCCACAGAGTGAGTGAGAGGGTTGATTTGAGTGGGTGTGCCACCTGTGTAGGTCTCTGGAGCCATGTGTTTGGCGTGGACAGGGAGCAAGCAACGATCTTGCTGCTCGCGCTCCCCTCCCCCTTCTATCTGTGACTGTGTCTTTGCGCGTGTGTGTGCTGATGCTCCTTTGCGAAGTGGGGGGTATGGACCTCAACACATAAGTGCATTATATATATATACACACACACGTATATATATATATATATATATCTGCGTAGGGAAGTAGATCGTTGAGGGCAAGTTTTTTTTTTCTTTTTCTTTTCCGTTGTTTATTCTGTTGGTATTTCCTCACTTTGTATGTGAAACGCTGACGCAGTCATTTCTTTGGGAACGCACAGATTAGGGGGAAAAACAGTATGTATGTCTGCATGCATGCGTGTATACGTCCCTTTGTTTCTGTACATGGTCGACATTCTTGACGCTTGCGTGCGCGGATTTGCGACTTGTTTTTTTTTTGTGTGTGTGGCACTGCGCCCCATTTTCCCCTTTTATCTTTTCTTATGCATGCCTGTGTTGTGTCTTGTTTTTTTCGTGAAGGAAGAAGGAGGTAAGATTGTGCATAGACCAAGGAGTGTGTGTGTGTGTTTTTCTTCTTGTAAATGTTAGGCAAGACCCTTACACCTCCGCTCAATCTCCCCACCTTTTACCCACAGTCTCTCGGCTACCTGCAGCACGGCGGGCGCGACGACGGGGATGTGATGACAGCCGCCACAACGTACTTCCCTCCCCGCCGCCAGCTCCTTGTGGTGGGCAGGTATGTGGCTGACTTCAACAACGAGGACCCCTCGAACCCCAAGTATGACCCACAGACCTGGCTGCGCTCGAGGGCCTCACGCGTGCCGCTACTCTTCCGCCGCAGGAACGGCAATATGTTCTCCGTCGCCTCGACAAACCTTGAGATGTCCTCCTCTGACGTCACACCCCGCGAAGTGCCGGTGGATGTGGATGTGTATTGCGCGACAACAGAAAAGACGCACTATACTCTGGTGGAGCCTGTGTATCCGTTCTCGGCCCCCAGCCTCTTCTTCCCGATACACCACAGCAGCCGCGGATGTGAAGCCTCCGTTGATTCTCGAGCTCCACGTGAGTTAAACCTCGCGTATCATGGCTGTGATCGACCCAATTACAAGCTGAGGAGTCTCACCATACAGAAAAACAACCTTAATCGCATGTGCCTCTACAAGGTGGCCCCCGGTGCCGTGGCCTTCAAGGTGGTGATCGATGCCTTTGAGGCCTCTGGGATGCAGTACACAGCTTCCAATGAGCTCTTCAATGTAATATGGGCGAAGCGGGCAACACCCTACACGTTGGCTCATCTTGGCCCGTACCAGAAGGTTAACCATTTTCCAGGAACATGGGGCATTGGTAGAAAGGATAGTTTGGCTCTCAATATTGAGAAGATGCAGCGTCACTTTGGAGTCGATGCTTTTAATATCGTTCCCGCGTCGTTTTTAATTCCCAAGCAATGGGCACAGCTTGAGGAATACGTCAAACGACAACCCGATACGAGTGAGGATCCGCTGATTTTGATAGTGAAGCCTAGTGCTTCTAGTTGTGGACGTGGAATTCGTCTTTACCATGGAATGCCGCCCATGCCGACAGGAACTAGACCAATGGTGTGCCAGCGCTACCTGGGTAATCCCATGCTCATTTACGGACGAAAGTTTGATCTCCGCTTGTACTGTGTCGTGACGTCCTTCGATCCGCTTCGCATTTTCCTCTTTGATGAGGGTTTGGTGCGTTTTGCCGCGCAAAAGTACCGAGGAATGGACAAGGATTTGGACAATATTCACGTTCACTTGACCAACTACTCTGTAAACAAGACAGCCGAGCTTAACCTAGCAAGTCGTGGCAAAGAGTATCAATCGGATGACCCCGTGGATATTAAGTGGTGTCTTTCTGACCTACGCCAATTCTTAATGGAAAATCAAAAGGATGGAGAACTTACGTGGGAGAGAATCATGCGTGGTTGTGACGATGCTGTCATTAAAGCCTTCCTTAGTATTGAAAACGATGTCGTGGAACGCATTCGCAAGGAGTGTAGTGATAGAACCGGACGGGGATGTTTCGAGATGTACGGTTTAGATTTAATGGTGGATGCGGAATACAATGTAAAACTTATTGAGGTGAACATCATGCCTTCCTTGGCCACAGGAACCCCTCTTGACAAGGCCGTCAAATCCCGCATGTTAGCCCACCTACTGACGCTCATCCGCGTGGTGCCGCATCAACGCAATGCCCCTGGGCCCACACCACCAAACTTTGGAGAACCGCCTTCATATCGCCACTACACGCGTTATCGGTTTGGTCGGCACCCGCACCAGGAGGCGGAGCTGATTCAGAAACCCCTGCTTACCCGATTTAACGATCCCAATGACCCTGACTCTTTCCTTTCCCCGAGCGAATGCCTTCTATTGGTTGAGGCGGAGGAGGAATTGGCATGCGCTGGCGGCTTCCGTCGTATTTTTCCCACGGCCAAGAATGTGCTGGCCTACTTGCCTTACTTTACGCATGGTGTTCTCAGAAACAACTACCTTCTTGCATCGGCTCTCCGGATGCAGGCAAAGACAAGCAGCTGAACGGGAATTCAAGGCATTATCATTACTATTACCTTATTATTATTATTATTATTAGTTGCTGGTGTTGTTGTTTGCGTGGGGCAATAAGTAAACGCAGCAACTACCTCGCTGGGTTTTTGAGGGAGAAACTCAAGCCGCACAAGAATGAACACGATAACAAGATAGATCAAAAACGGAGTAGAAAAAAAAAAGAACGGGGATGCAATGGTTGACTTTTTCATGAAGGAGGAATGGAGTAAGGAGTTAAATGCGGGAAGTGGTGTGGCAAACGGGGATACTATGCCTCGTGCCACACTCACTGGTGTTAAAATTTGGGAAAGGGGGGAGGAGGGCGTGTGTGTGCGTATGTATGTGAAAGAGCGAGAGAGTTAGAGAGAGACCGTGGGGGGACGAACTACGTACGGAGACTCGTTTTGGGACGTAAAAAAAAAGAGAGTGTTGCTATTTCTCTCTTCACTTGGTTTCACTTCCTCTGTGCAGGTGTGGAATTGTTCTCCAGCGTGGTTGGATAAGACTCCACATTCACTTTTCTTTCCGTGTATTAACTCTTTTGCTTCCCCTTTTACTTCGTCGCGTCGGTGATGGCCAGGTGGAAAAATTTCTCTGAAGGCGTCAATTCTGCATGCGTGTTCTTTCCTTGCGTTTTGGGCCTGAGCGAAAGAACCTTTACGCCTTTCAAGTCCATTTTTTTTTGACTATGCAGCAATGTATGTGCTTCCCCGCGCGAACGTGAGGCTACTCACCGCTGTTTCGCTGCTGCTGGTGGTGGTGGTGGCGCCTTGCCTCTCTCGCTTCTTTCCTACTTTAAGCATGGTCCCTACGTGCCTCTTTCTCCCCCTCTTTGCTTCTGTGTGTGTATATGTGTATGTGTGTGTGTGTGTGTGTGTTTGCGTGTGTGTGCTTCTTCTATTTTGTTCTCTCCCTATCTACTCCACTCGAATCCCGCAACTCTTTTGCGCGTCGCTGCGTCCTGCCAAGGTAGAAGCTCTCTTTTTGGCGCTGTTGGAACTCTTCTGTGTGGGCGAACCAAAATACTCACCCGTCGCTGAATACGGCTCCATGCTTGACTACTTCGTTGCCATTGGCGTGGCCCTGGCGGGGCTGTTGGTGGTGTACTATGTGTTCCAGAGCATCAGCAGGTCGGAGGTGGTGACGGTCGCGGCCCCGAAGCAGCAGCGGTCACGTGCGCGAAAGGCGCCGAAGCCACCTCGCCGCGACGACGCGGCGCTTGACCGCGCGACGGAGGCGCTCATCGCCCGCGAGGTCGCACGCAACACCACCTCCATGCGCGCCGACGTGCGCGACGTCAGGCCGGTGTCGCTCGAGAAGGTGCAGCGTAAAGCGGCAGCCGGCAAAAACAAACGGGTGGCGCCGACCGCCACGCCCACGAACACCGCGAAGCAGAAGCTGATCGATGAGATGGGGTTCCAGCAGGTGGGGGAGCAGCCGAAGCCGCGGAGGAACACGTCGCCGCAGCAGCAGCGAGAGCCGCAGGTGGGCATGGAGGAGGAGCTAAGCCGCAAACTTGGTCTCTTCTTCAGCAACGGCCGAAAGGAGAAGAAGGGGTTCAAGCTCAACCTGAAGGAGGAGCAGGCAGCGAACTCCACAAGCAATGGTGTCCACGTTGTTGTGAAGAAGGATATTAGTAATGCCCGAACTTGGTAACTCTGAGTTCGAGATGGAAATGCAAAAGAAGAGCTTGGAGGAAAAAGTTAAAAAAAAAAGGGTGGGGGATGACTCTGTGCGCACGAGTTCCAAAAAAAAAGAAAAAAAAGATCAAAACACAATCTCATGAGAAGAATAATAATAATTATCAGGCTTCATAATTTCCACGCTACGAAAGCCTTGGCGAGGTAAAAGAAAAGGGGGTATATATATATATATGCATATATATAGTCACTCTTGAGCGAGGAAGAAGACGTCATTTCTCCATTGCTCGCTTTCCCTTTTAATGTGCGCATTACTTTATTGAGTGTCTGTATATGGGAGTTGGGGGAGACAATGGCAGAAGACGCTTTTTTTTCCCCTCACCTCTGTCTTTTACTCTTGTGGCTGGTGCGGGAGCAACAGTAGCAACAACAGGAAAGAATGGGCGAATAAGAAGGAAGTATATATTTTTCCCTTCCACCGAACTATGGTAAAGTGTCGGGAGAAGAACGAGTTACACTTCTCCTTTTTTTTCCCCCTCTTATTTTTCTTTTTCAAAGGAACTCATTCTGCAATCTATGTCTCTATCTATCTATATATATCTCTCTCTTTCTTCCTTTGCCTTCTTGCAGGAAGGAGGGCGGTGCTGTGAGCGGCAGTGGGGGAGGTAGAGAGGCGAGCATCGCATTGCCTTTGGCTTGGCGTATTTTTAACGCTTTTTTCTTCTTTTCCTCTTCCCTTCTTCTCTATTTTTTTCTCGCAGCTTTGTGCTTTTTGCCGTTCCTTGGGGGGAGGAAGTCGTAATGCTGGATTGCCGGAGCACCTCCTTGGAGCAGCACCTGAAGGACGAGAAGGCGGCATATTCTCAACTCGCGCTGCTGAACATCCAGTCGAGTGCCCTCCTCGACCGCTTTTATCGTGAGTGGTGCGCGTTAGAGTCTAGGCGGCAGGTGCTCCTCAACGAGTTGGAGCATCACAGCCGCGCTATTCGCGAGCACCGAAAACAGTTGGAGTTGACGCTGTTTCCGCCCGAGGTGCGGGCATGGATGCGGGCTGCATTGCCCGAAGTGGAAGTCTGGGAAGAGGCTGACGCAAAGCTGGGTGCAATCTATGAACCATTTTCCGACACGCCGTGTTCAACGCTCCCTGTCACAGGAAAGGCACGGGCGGTGTTCGAGCAGGCCATCGCACGGCAGGTTGTGTGCTGGGAGGAACCGAGCGGCGCTGTTGCAGAGTACAAGGAGCGGCCGGCCCCGTCACGTTTGGCGCGTGTCAGCCCTCAACCAGGAGTTCTGCTGCATTCTTGCTTCTTACCGTACAGGAACCCGCAAACGGCCGAATTGCGTCGTCGAGCCGTGGGCGGAGATGTCGTTGTCATGAAGAGCCCAGAACCGAGTGTGGGTCGTGTACTTGTCTCAATGCATGTGATTCGTCGTGGTGACCCCATCATGGTGGAGGCCCCGCTTTTTACTTCTTTCACGGCAACGGGGGAGGGCGGTGGTTGTCGTGAGGAGTTTCTTCCGCCAGCTATCCGGAAAGCCATGAGCGCGGTGCTGCGTCAGTCCAAAGTCTTCGCGGCGCAGGGGTGGGACACACGGCTTCTTCGCCCATTCTATGAATGGTTAACAGAGCTGGTGTTTGGGGAGAAACGAGAGGAGTTTGCGCAGCGGTGGGAGGAGCTTGGCTGCCCAGTGGAAGACGCTGATCCCGCATTCCTCTCAAAATTCTCTGGCCTAGCACACTTCCTGTGGATGAGTCTCCCGTCCTCGCTTGCATCGGTGCTAGGAAGCGAGGAACGCGTGCTTTTGTTTTTTGTAACCCTTATCACGAATGCCATAAACTACGGTGGGGACATCGTGGAAGAGGAAGGCAACGTTTACACCGCGGCAAATGGTGTTTGTGTTGCCCCTCTCAACGCAGGGCTGGGGGTCTTTGGTGGGATTTCGTTGATTGAGCACAGCTGTCAGCCCAATGCCGTTTTAGTGTTTCGCCATGGGTGCACCCCAGAGAGCAGCATATTCGCCGAGCTACGGGCCACGCGTGCAATCGCGGTCGGGGAGCGCATCACGATTGCGTATGTGCCAACCTTTCTTCCAAAGGCGCAACGGCAGAAGCGGTTACGAGACAAGTTCTTTTTTTCATGCGCTTGTGAGCACTGTACCACTGGCTCCGATACAACACGGATGATGTTTGCCCCCGGTGAACCACGTGAGGAAGGAGTCGTCATGTGCCCAAAGGGGCGAGGAGCTGACTGGACGCTGTGGTCGTTGAGGTCGCGTCCCTCGGTGCACGGTTTGAAGGAGCTGGGGAAGTTGTACCGCTACGATGACGCCCACGTGCTGGATGCCGTCCGCGACGAGACGGCGTTTCGACAAGAGATGAGTGCCACCGGCATGGGCGGCATGGATGCTGTAGGGGTGAGAGCTGAAGTGCAACAACTTACTAGGGTGTTGCACGGTGAGGCAAAAAGCAACGTCAGTCCGCTTCACCACCTCTTTCTGCTCCGAGCGCTGCAACTGGCGGCGGTAGCAAACTCTAACTTTTCTCAGTTGGACGCTGTCACGACGGAGTCCGTGTTGATATTCATGCGTGAACTGCTGCAGGAACTGACAGAGGTAGTCTTTCTGCTGCCTGACTGGTTCATCGCGGAGCTGCTTATTGGTGAGACACCCACGGGTGTGCTCACCGATGATCTGGGCGAGCGACTATTGGGTGACAGTAGCCATGGGCGTGCCGCGACGCGGCAACCGTGGCAGGAACGTCTCACCACGCATCCGTTGCTTCACCAGCATGGGACACTCCTTGTCTCCCTCCTGGAGTCTTACGCGGCACTTCGCGAGGAGGCGGGAAACACTGAGGCAGCGCTAAATGCGTGGACGGCTTGTGTTATTTTGCTGCGATATGGGATGTGTCAGGGGGCTTCTGAACGCTGCCTTCGCGCTCAGCTGAAGGCCCTACAGTGCCGTCAGCGACAAAAACGAAAAAACAGGAGCAGCAGCTTTAAGGTTAGGAGAAAACCATGCGACAGGCCAATACATACGCGTAACAAGGAAGGTAGTCAGACCATTTCTATTTTATTTTTTTCTTCATCTTTGCTTGTTTGTTTCCCTCTTACTTCATTGCTGCCTCACTCGCTGTGTTGGTGATGCCCACCGCAGTTTGGTGGGTGGTGAAAGGGAAACGTGTAGAATTTATCTGTAACGACTTGCATAGCCGTATTTCTCTGTTACTGCTTTTGTTTTTTTTTTTTTGGGGGGGGGGAGGAGTTTCTGTTTCTTGCCTTGTGTGCTGTTGGTGGTGTGGGACTCCGCGTGTTTCTATTTTGTGGCTGTCGTTTCTCTTCTTGCGACCTGGCAGTTTAGTCGACACTCTCTAGTTAGTATTTAAAAGCTCTGCTGAGACCTTGTGTGGTGTTGAGGTGCCATGACACAAATCATTACGGATAATTTGCGTCCAAGCGTACCATCTGCCGCCCCGAAAAGTCAGCGCGTATGCCGTCACTTTGCTCGAGGCCGCTGCACGTGGGGATCGTCTTGCCGCTTCTCCCACGATGCTGAGCGTGTTGTCGTTGATGAGTCCCAAATCGGCCAGAACTTTATTGGGCCTCAACAGCTACAGTTGCAGAAGGAGCGCCACGTTATACTGAAGGCAGCTTTGAACGGAGAGTTCGAGATAAAACCGTACAGCGTGGCTGAAGGGTATCAGAGGCACATAGTTCACCTCCGTTTTTCATCGTCGACGATTCTTCTTCCACGGTTATTGACGGAGGAGGCGCTTCAGCAGCAGCTTATAGAACTGGGGGACAATGAGCAGCTTCGCATTGGTGGTCTTCTCTTCCTGGTGGGTGAACCCGCTGTGTTTTGGTCCATGATGCAGAACTACTGTCTGCGCGGGACAACAACAAGCTCCAAGTGGGACACGTTGCTGGCAAACGCAAAGCGTGGCTACGTGGAGTGTATGTTCTTCCGCTCAGCAGTGGGATGCTTGAGTAGCGAGTGCCCCTTTTCCCACACCACTCCCCCAGCTGTTACATTGGCCACACCACTGCAAAACATGGCGACAAACAACGCACTTCTGACTCCACTGTTGGGCTTTGGTATGGCAACAACAGCAACTGCGGTAAACACCACGTCACCGGCAGTGGCTTCGGTGGCCAAAACGCACACGAACGGTCTTTGCCAGACCACAGAATCTGCGAGGCAAGTCAGCGTCCCATCACTGACGGTAAAAGCGGATGAGTCCGTGGCTTTCCGCGACACCGTGTGGGGGGCCTGTGGCATTCCAGAGCTCAAGACTACCCCAGAGGCGCAGGAGGACCTTTCCTTCATCTGGGGCGGCGGGGTGAGAAGTGTGCCGGAGTTTGAATGGTAACCATCTTTTGCATGCATGAGACTCCCATCGTCTGGCCAACCTGTTCCTCTGTTCCATTCCTTACAACCATTCTTACCTCTACTGCCTTTTCTTTCCTGAAGACAAATACATGCAAAGTGGACGCAAATGGGCGAGGGAACCACAAGGGGTGGCGGTGAAGGAGGAGGGAAGAGTGATTGCACCAGGGAACTTGTAATGAATGCAACAAAAAAGATGAAGCCTTAGATATACAAACAGACATGGACAGGCAAGCGGAGAGGTTTTCAAATACACTCTGAGAACGAGAGAGTGTGATTGTGTGGGTGTCTGTGTATACGAGAAGAAGAAGTGGTAGAAAAAAAAGGTCGGGAAAGACACGGACGAGCATATCTGAGAAGTGAAGAAAGACGGAGACAACAGCTGTCCCATTTTTTCGGCGTTTAGTTTAACTTCCTTGTCGATGTTTTGTTGTTGTTTGTTTGAGTTTTCCCAGGGGCTCGCTCTCTCTCTCTCTCCCTCTCCCTCTGACTTCCCCTCCTCCGAAGTGCATACTTGCGTACATCTGTATATAAAAATATATAATATAATACTTCACACTTCAAACCAGGCGTTTATATATATATATATATAATTTCATAGCGTCTTAAGTTGCCCCATCTAGCTTTTATGTAGTTTGTCGATTTTTTGGTCGTTTTGAGTCTTACGCGCATATGCGCGCTTTGTGCGTGAGTGTGTCTGTGTAGCTATAAATAGACATATGTGTGTGTTCTCTGTATGTGTGTCTGAGTAAGAGTCAGTGAGTGTGTGTGTGTGTATGTGTGTGGTGTGCCCCCGTGCGTTTGTTTCTCTGCGTTTTCTTCAGCACCACTTTGGGCGGTCGAGTGAAGGCGCAAAACCAGAGAGGCACGACCGACCGACCGACGGGGGGAGAGAGAGAAGTGCGTGATAAACGCTAACGGGAGGGGGACGAGCGTAACTAATAAACTATCAAAGCACCAGTTGATGCGAGGGAAAAGGAAGAAAAACGCAAGAGTCAGAGAGAGCGAGAGAAGAGAATGAAAGACTGCAGTAGTAAACTGACAAGAAAGAAAGACACGAGGGCCAAGTAAGAAAGAAAAAAAAATGAAAATACATATATATATATTTATATGTATATGTATATTCTTGGCTGGGGGGGATGGCGCTGCGGGGGGAGAGGGACCCTGCACGCACGGGCCCACGCGTGTGTCAAGTGAAGAGGGCAAATGATAAACATAAGCGAAAGACGAAGAGGAAAACGAAAAATGCGGAATCGGGCCAAAAGCACAAAAAAAAACAAGTTAATAGTTGTGGGAAGTAGAACTAAGAAAAAAAAGGAGGATGAAAGAAAATAATAATAATAATAAGTGGCCTGGGCGGGGAAGGGGCGTGAATAGCAAAAGAAGAGGTAAACAGAGGAAGGAGAGCCAAAGTTTACAGAATCATGTTTTTTTTTTCCGTAAGTGTGTGTGTGCGTGTGCGTTCCCCCGCGCGTCCGTGCGGTGGTACTTATGGGGTGCGAGCAGCGCGTGTGGTCGAGGGGTGCAACGCGGAAACGAAGGAGACGCGGGGGGGGGGAGCGAGGAGGAACGTAGGTGTGAAGTTCTTTGGCCGCCATTCATGCGCTGGGCAAGCAAGGTGGAGACCCACGCACAAAGTAAGAAGCAAGACGCCATGCAGGCGCGGATGGTTGTGTGGCGAGAGGAGGAGGAGGAAGCGGGGCTCGAAAGAAAAGAAATACACGCGGCCCAAGCAAAAAGAAACAGAAAAAAAAGCTGGCGTAGAATACCTCTGAATTTCATTTTCCTTTTTTTTCTCTTGTTGTTGCTCTGTTCGTAACGCGCGTGCGGCGTCTCAGTCCGCAGGGGCGCTGCCGTGGAGGGGGAAGGCGGAGGGAGGGTTATACTAACACCTACACGCGAGAGGCATTGCATGCGGCAGAGACCCGTGTGTGGAGCACCAGGGGAAGAACAGAACACATGCGCCCCCCGCCAAGAGAGTAGGAGTGGTACACGCCACGCAAATACTGCCACGCCCATGCATGCACATAACTAAATATATTTGTTTACGTTCGCAAAACAATCAGCTCCCTTTTCGAAGTTTATGAGTTTTACTTCAAAGCCGGCGGAAAAAGCAATAAGAAAACGAACAAAAAGAAAAAGAGAGAAGAGGAAGTGAGGGATGTGAGAAGTGCGGAGGAAAGCAGTGGTAGTGGCAGTGGTGAAGGTGGAACAAGAGGCACAGAGATGTTGACGAAGAAGCAGAAGCGAAAGTGTGGGAGGAAATTTCCAAGGCAGCGAGGGAGAAGCAGGTGCAAACAAGTCATCAAGGAAGGAAAGGAAGGAAGAAGAAAAAGTAACAACAACAACAACAACACGCAGGCCGCGCAAATCTAACTTTTGTATAGAATGCAGTAATAAATGGAGGGGGAGGCGAGGCGATGAAATTTCAGGGTTTGGGGAATCAATGACTAAGTGAGAAAATGAGGGAGGGAGAGGGGGGGGGGAAGAAAAAAGTAACCTGCGGAAGGGAGATGCAAAAAATATATGCGAGAAGGAACCGGGAGGAGTAAAAAGCAAAAAAAAAAAATCGAAAAAAAAACACAACAACAACAGTTGATATTTCATCTCAGTTCATGACTGCGATTGCAGCAGCAGGTTAAGACTGAAGCAGCCTCCATGCCTCGGAAGTGCGGAGGACAGCGCCCTACCCATAAAGTACGGAGTCAAAGAACGATGAGGCAGAAAAGGCTGCTTCCAACGAGAGGCAATAAAACAAAAAAAAAAGAGGAGGGGAAAGACAAAAATGAACATGTAGTGAGCAGGGAGCCCATAACGAATTGAAGGTAAAAAAAAAAGAGGAAAAAAAATTCGAGGGTCCTTAACCCGTCGAGAAAAACGTCTTTTGTTGCTTGGTTTGATACCATTGAAAGTCAGTGCATACATATATATATATATGTGTGTGTATGTATGTATGTATGCGTCTGTGCGAGAAGAGGGGGAGAGAGAGGAGGTCTCAGCGCAAGCTTTGAGCTTTAGACGTAATAATACACTCTCAAAAAGAAAAAGGAAACACAACAAACAAATAAACCTACATATTCTTCTTCTTGTCTTGTGGCACCTTGGCCGCCCAGTTTCGGTGGAAGGCGCGTACAATGGAGTAATTGCGGTGTGGGGTGATGAAGCGCGTGTGACGCTACCTCATGAGTCTCTCCGGTTTTGCCTTGTTTCCTTTTCCTGTTTCCTTCTTGCACGTGTGTGGAATTAGTAGTGAACCCTATCATATTAAACGTAGGGAATTATTAAGCTTTTGCCTACTCTCATTCATCGCAGTAGCGTCACCATGTCTTCTGGCGAGAAGGAACGGGATGCACTCGAGACTGGCGTGCCGGAGTCGGGTGCCGCGGAGGAGCGCGACGTGAAGCGAGGTGCGGGAAGCAGCAATGGTGGTGAGGCGGCAACGGCGGCGCCAACATCACAGCAGCAACAGCAGCAACCGTCGGGCGATGGCGGCCCATCGGAGGAAGAGGGTCGGGACCACAGGTCGGCGACTATCGCTCATATCCAGCAGAACTTTGGTGTCATGGCCCGTGTGTTAGAACGGGAGGTGTTCCGACGAGGGTTGATAAATAGTAGTGTGGAGGAGATGTACTCAGTTTTTTCTATGAAAAGTACTGCTCTACTCGAGTTTCTTATAACCGAAACGGATCAGCATGCTTTGCACGCGCAGATTTTGGAAATGTTGCTGACGATCCTGGAGCCTACGTACGGCATTGAGCATGCACGAATGCTGGTGGCCATAATGGATCAGTCTGTCGCTGACTTGTACTTGTTCCAGGCGCTACTCTCAACATCCTCACTGGACACTTTGGTTCAGAGAGCGGAGGAGTTCATGGACCCCCCGACACGGTCCGTCGGGTCAGGCATGAGCGGTGGTATCCCTGGGAACTATAGTGGTGTGCCAAGTGAGAATGTGCGTGGCGTGCAGCCGACATACAACAATGCGTCGGCGCCTGTGCGCTCCTCCTACGCGGAGTTCGGCAAGGACCGGCGTGTGGAGCCAGCAATGGAGCCAAACATACCTCGTGGAGCCAATACCTACACCGAAGGTGGTGGCGTTCCAACCCCCAGTCAACCAGAGGATGAGCCGATGCCAGCAGTTACCTCGGGTTGGGCAAATGTGCAGCGAAAGCATGTCGAGCATGACCGTGAGGTGCCTGTTCATCATTACCAGCAGCAGCAGCAGCAGCAGCATCAGCAGCCACAGCCACAGCCACAACACTTACAACATCGAGTCCCTTTTAATCCATTCCTTCATCAGCAACGGCAACAGCCTCCAAACGTAGCTCATCATCACCAGGTGGTTGTAGGAACGGGTCCGATGGGATTACAGCAGCAGCAACAGCAACAGCAACTCCAGCAACAGCAACCGGAGAACCATCAACCGGATTCTTTCCCACGTGCACCGGTGGTACAGGGGCCGCAGAAGAGGATGATGGATCGCGTGTCCCCTGGCACGCAAGAGTCCGAGGACGCACATCTGCGAGGAGCAATGTGGCGGGGCCCCCTTCCTCCACCGGGTGCCCAGCACGACGCCGTAACGGTACCGCAGCCCTCATATCACCCCCAAAACCAATCGTCACCGCCTACGCTACACCCAAACCAGCATCAGCTTGCCACTCCTAATTCCCCAACGCATTCAAGATTTCTGCTGCATCACCGTCACGTCACCGCGCATTTTGCACCACCGGTTTCCATGGGAAAACAAGCATCGCCGCAACCTGCAATGCAGTTGTCCCCACAGCTGACCCCACAGCCTGTGACGACGAAAACAGCGGCAGCGGCAACGGCAACGGCAGCTGTGTCAATTTCCAACCCGCAGCGGGTGATGGTTCCCCATCATCATCATCATCATCATCATCATCATGATATTCCGCCCCCACATCTTATGATGCCCAGAGTCTCGCCCCCATCGCAAACCACCAAGTCTGTCGCGAAGCCGGAACCTGTGAACTCATCTGAGACAACGCCTGTGGTCCACAATGCAGAGGCTGCTGTGCCACAGCTGAAGCCGCATCATTTTCATCATATTCCTTCTATCCAAAAGGTTGTGCGCCAGCCTCCACCTAATGTGAGCATGTCAGCATCAGTGGGTGTTGGCGGTGCTGGCGCTGCTGGCGGTGGGTTTAGTGGTGGAGGGAGTGAGGCGCCTTCTCATGGGATTATGATTCCCACGCACCATCATATGCTACATCACTTTCAGCAGATCAGACCGGTGGTCCAGCCGCAGCAGCAACAGTATCGACAATCTCCTTCGTCCGCCCCAGGCCCGATGTCTATCGACGCGCTTAGCAATGAAGAAATGAACTGGGCCTCGTCGGAGACAGCAACAATGTTGTCGGGCTCACAGGAGATTCGCTGCTTCTTTCGAGAGCGAGGTGTGACGGAGCCCGTCGTCAATGTCATTGCCAAAATGTTCCTTTCAATGGAGGAATTGATGGCAATTCCTCGTGAAGCGCTTGACGAGAGACTAAGGAAAGAAGGCGTGTCTGCCAATAATCGGCAGTATGTTTGGGCCGCATTGCACCCAAGCGAAAAGACAACTTCTGAAAAGGACGTTCCTGAAATGAGTGAGCTACGCAACTTCATCCACTCTAATTCCATCCACAATAACATGTCTCAGGAGGGAGACGATGAGAATGCAACGGCTAAAGGTGGTCGCACTGGCAAAACGATGCTCCAAGTACCTCAACCTAGAACGTCTCAGGGTAAACCACCACAGTCAGGAAAGGTAGGGGAATATTACGCGGTTATTTGGGTCTCTTTGGTTCGTGCATGGCAACTTCAAACTGTGCTTGGGGAGTTGTCCAAGTACGGCAAGGTGCTGCAGCATGGAACATCTTCTCGTAGGCGCGATCTGGTTTACTTCAAGTTGGGTGAGCACAAGAATGAACTTCAGATGGTGCGAAAAATAGGGGGCGCTGTTGTGGAAGACTACTATCGTGTGTCTCCAGGGGACGTAGATGACGGCGCCCCGCCAACGCCGACGGGACGTTCCGAGGAGGCTGATGACAATGGTTCCAGTAAAATCGTCGGCCAGAAGGCTGGCGCTGGGCTGCAGCCTTACCCGCAGCATCCTCAGCAACCCTCCGCGAACCGTGGCGAGTACGGGGTGGCGGACGAGGAAGACATGGATGGGGACGAAGGCCGAACTCACCGCAAGGGGAGTGGGGTGCGGCACACTAGAGGGCGGGGTCGCGGTGGGCATCACGGCTACCATCATCATCGACACTCAGAAGGAAGCCACCAGACAATCTGCAAATTCTTCAGTAAAGGGACGTGTAAGTACGGTGATCGTTGTCAGTTTTTCCACCCGGCGAAGCATGCGAGTCGGTCGTGATAAAGGGGCAGCAGCAGCAGCAGCAGCAGCAGCTAAAAAACAACAACCAAGCAACCAAAGAAAACAAAAAGCAAAAGGCAAAAAAAAAAAAAACTCTAAACCAAACGAAAACAAAAGCAAAACAAAAAGATGAAATGAAGGAAGGTTCTCGCCACATAGGAGAACTACGTAAAAAAAAAAGAATGAAAATGAAAATGTGCCCATCCTGCTGTATTCGCTCGTTTGCCTGTTCGTATTCTGTTTCTTTCCCAGTCCCCCGCGTTGGCCTTGATGCCGTGCGTTGTATCGGGATCTTCCCGGCGTGACAACAAGGAGAGGTGGGTGTGGCGTCTGAGAGAAGAGACAGTAGAAGCGAGCGGGGTGGGGAGAAGCACAAACTCCAACGCGGAAAAGAAACAAAGCTGAAAAAAGGATGAAGCTGTGTGGAACCCCAAAACAAGCTGACAAATATATCTATGGCGACTGCGCAATACCGTAGGCGATGAGGCAAAGAGAGCGAGGAGCGAACATTTTGTGCTTGTCATATATATGAATATATATATATATATAT